GCAGGGAGTGTCAGAAGAGATGGGCTCTCGGCCTGGCCAGAGCTTGCTGAGCCACAGCAGGTTTCCACAGCGGCACGGCAACTAAGAGGCCAAACAAACACTCGTGAGCCACTCTCCTTTCCTGTCGCCGCTCAGCCACCACGTGCCACGCTGGGAAAGATGTCGGGGTGGAGCAGAACCACCTCAGAATGAGGCTGGAGGCCCAGCGCACCTGCAGCCCAGAGCAGAGCAGGAGGGTCAGGGTCCGACAGCGGGTGTGGGGGTCCTCCTAGTAAAAGGGGCAGTCCTTTCCCAGAGCCCCAGGTCAGGAAATTCCAGGGGTGGCGCAAGCTGCAAGCACAGAAGCAGTGTGGGGTCTGCAATCCTCCCCGACAGTGCCTGTCCACCCACAGGACCACGTGGCTTCCACACCAGGTAGCTCCATATTCCTGGAAACAGTGGCTTTCCAGGGCTGGCAGGTGGCATGGCGTTTGGGGTGCTCGATTCCCACATGGTCAACCACGGTTCAAGTCCCGGACTCAAAGGCCCAAAAATCATGATAAATAAACAGATCATTTTTTTTTAAAGAGTGTCTTCCACGAGCTCCGGTTCGCTGTCCAGGGCCCAGTAGGCAGCCCAGGGCACTCAGGCCAGCACAGAGAACAGCCAGTCCTGAGCTGTGCTGCAGGCCCATGCCAACATACACCAGAACACGTGCAGGACTGCAGGCTGCAAACAAGCTTTGGGACTCAGCTCTCAAGCCCCTGGATAGCCTAGGCCCCACTCAGGTCCCTCTCTGCCCCACTCCCCTTCCCCGTGGCCAGCCCACCCCTCTGCCCCCACTTCGCAAAGGCTGTGAGCCCCAGCATTTGCGAAGACCAGACAAGGTCTTGTGCTCTGCGTCCTTTCTATCATCTCCGGCACGGAGCTGTTAATTCAGTTCTCCTCCATTTTTCTTAGTTTAAAATAAATTCATTTGAGGCTACACATTGGCCTCTGATAACCACCTTGGAAAAATCCCAGGCATTTCCAGAATACGGTATTTTCACTGTTACTTCCAAATGTTTAGCTTCCATTGAGAGTTCCTCCTCTGACCCCCAGTTATTTGGGGGTGCATTCTAAAGTTTCCAGAGCATGGGGGCTTGGTTGGGGGGCAGTCTGTCATTGCCACGATTGAATCTGGCACGTGTTCTAAGAGACCGTTCTCTCTCTCTGTGTGGCTCATCCTTTAATGTCGGTAGCACTCGCTCCATTAGGTCACCATTGCGGGGACAGGGGTACCTCCAACTTGTTTCTTCCCATGGGCAGGGCCCACCCTGGGCACCTCCGCGATGACTCCTGAGTGTCACTGAGCACTGGCCCTGGTAGCGTGGATTCCTAATCGTTCACAAAGCACTAGACAGCAGCCCGGCCCCACCCTGCTCTCCCTTCTGACCAGCCGCACCTACCCTGGAGCTTGCCTGGACTCACACAGTCATCCTGCCACACACCACCTCCCTCTCCTGCCGATTCCCAAACCCAGTGCTTCAAACACACAATGTCAATAGGGAAAGTTGTTAAAAAGGACAGAGGCGCCTGCAGCAACTAGATCAGATGTCAAAGTCAGCCATGTGACGCTCTCCCACTCCCTCCGCTGCCCCGGCAGCTTGTCCGGACTGCTCTGCTCTCCTCACCCCTCCACCTGATTCGCTCAGGCCCCAGCTTGCCTGAACTCTCACTGTGTGCCACGACAGCTCTGCTGGCAACAGGCCAGCCAGGTACCCCACCTCCCACCAGCTCCTACGAGGTGTGGAAGTGGTTTGGCTGGCTCCCTCCCTCCCTTCTCCCTCGCCCTCCCTCTCTCTCTCTCTCTCTCTCTCTTTAGATCTCTGCTATAGGGCACGAGTGCTTGCTGGAGAGAGCAGAGAGAAAGGGAAAGTGAGCTGTCACCCCTTGCGGGGAATGGCCACACTGCAATCCCTTCTCCTCCATTCGCCTCTTGGGACTCGAGGAATGCACGTATGCATGGGTGCCCGGCGTGTTTCTCACGCTGCCAGGTCTGAGACTCGACCTGTGCAGGCAGTCGGCCATGTGGGATCCAGCACCTTAACCCCATGCCACCTGCTGGCCCTGGTTCTCATAGCATGGCCAGCAAGTGAGCAGACAGGACTGTCCCAGCCCACACCCCTCCATCAGAGGGAAAGCTAAATAATCATCAAACCCGGAGACCGAAGAGGCCCTGAGGCTTCCATACAGGCACCCTGGTCTCCGATCCCCGGCTCAGGCAGAAAAATGACAACCCGGCCCACCGGGTGGTACGCCCACAACCCCACCAGCAGGCTCCCGGGCTTGCTTACCAGCACCAGCTATGAGCTGGGCTCTGGGGCCCTGGGGTGCTCTTGGGCCATCATGATGCAGCAGAGAAGGGGTAGCCTCTGTGCAGGAGCTGCTGCCCAGGGACACTGAGGCACTCTCCCGACCCCGGCCAAGGACACGGGCTCCAAGCCCCCAGCTCCAGGCTGCTGGCAGGAGACACGACAGGCTGGCCTCTTGGTTGCTTAGGGTGGAATGAAAGAGCTGTTCTCTCTCTTCCCTCCCCCTTACCTCTCCAGGAGGTGCCCACCCATCCAAGCCAGGCATGACTGCCTGAGCATCAAAACAGTCCCCCAAAACGAAATGCCTGAACAAGAGCCACAGGGCACGCACAGAAGCAAGGGAAGAGACAGAGCAAAGGAAAGGCCGCCCGCCCCGAGAGCCGCTTCCCCCCACAGCAGCCTGGGACAGCCCAGAGGCTCTGGTCACTGTCACTCACACTGCTGCCCCCTTGTGTGGAGTTAGGCTCCTTTGCGGCCCTCACCCAGCCTGGTCTAGAGCCTGGCCTAGAGCCTGGCCTGACACAGGCCCCGTGGACCACCTCTGGGTCCCGCCCACTGAGTCTCTGAGCAAGGCCCGGCAAGGAGAGCAGCCCCTGTGCTGGTCTGGGCCACGGCTGGCCGGGCACGTGGACCAGCGTGCAGCCCAGCCGCTCTGCAGCGACACACCGACTGCCCAGCCACAGACACCAGATTGAACTCCCCGCCCACCACCCGCCCACCATCCTCTCCCAAATAGCTCCAGGGGACCTAAACTGAACGAGCATGGCTCAAGATTATGTTTCGGAAAATAGAGAAAAATAAAACTGTATTTCTAGCACACTGCCCCCACACTTGCCACGCGCTACCGCGAGGGTCTCATCCAGGGCACGAGGCCTTGAATGACAGCTGCAACTGATAGGAAAGCCCTTCCCTCTGCGGCCAGTGTCCCCTCCGGTGACATGAGGGGGTGAGGTGGGATGACAAGGCGCTCTTGCAGCTCTGACACCCCAAGGTCTTACTACATCTGGTGAGAAGCAGGGACTCTTCCTTCCTCCTGCTCAACTGTCATGGCCACAGTTGATCCAGCCTCCACGCACAATTCCAGGCCCTCAGAAAGGACACTGGTTGCCCAGCCAGCCTGGTGCCACCACGTGGGTTTCAGACGCCCCCCCCGCCCCGGCCTGTCCTCCACTAGGAGGGAGGCCCAGCACAGGGCGCTCACCGTGGTCTCTGCAGACCAAGGCCCTGGGTGAGGCAGCACTGAGGGCAGTTGGTGGGGACGAACGTGCGTGGTCAGGGAATTGCCTCGGCCCACCTGATGGAGTGTGGATTTCTCCTTTATTATTATTTTTTTTTTTGAGAGATTTAAAAACAGGTTTTCTTTGCTATATCCAGCGTGTGCTCGCTGAAGAGAAGAGAAACAGAAAGTGAGAAATCACCTCCCAAGGGGGTGGCCACGCCACAATCCCTTCTCCTCTATTCTCTCTTTTTTTTTTGGAGAGGTTTTTGCTATAGGGTGTGTGCGCTCACCAGAAAGACAGAGACATAGAGACAGAAAGCGAGAAATCACCCCCCAGGGGGGATGGTCACGCCGCAATCCCTTCTCCTCCATTCTCCTCTCGGGATCTTGGGCACGCGCACACACACGCGCCCAGCGTGAGTTTTAAGCCACTGGGTCCGGGATGCGACCCGCGGTCGACTACATGGGAGTCCAGCGACAAAGCCATTACGCTAACTGCTGGTTCCCTATTCTCCTCTCTTGATCTTGCGTATGCACGCACGTGCACGCGGTGTGAGTTTTAAGCCACCGGGTCCGGGGCTCAAACCGCGGTGAACTTCATGGGAATATAGCAACGTAACCATTACACCATTGGCTGGGCCCAAGAGTGTGGATTTCAGGAGCTGTCAAGGAAAGCCAGTGCAGAGATGACCTGGGAGACATGACGACCACCCTGGGCAGGACAAAGGCCAGACAAACCCAAGACTCCACGGCCTAGGGAGCTAGGAGCGGACGAACAGACAAATAGTTGCGAGAGGAGCAGCGGTCAGCTTGTGTCGCTCTCCTCCCCCTCTGGGCACAAGGTGCCCTGAAAGAGAAATGACAGGGACTGCATGGAGCCACCTCGTGGCCCCTACACTGTCGGCTGTCCCTCAGCCTCGTTCCCACGTTTCTAGGTTAACGGCAGACAAGCCACCACACAAGGAGATACTCCGCAGTCCCTGTGTCACTTCTCAGGGAACAATGTCAACAGGCTGGCCTCTGCGCTGGGGGCTGCGCTGGAGCTCGGGGAAGGACAGATGAGATGCCGCTACATCGCGCGCTCTCGGGCTGAGAGGGGAGCCGGCTGCTCCGGGAACCCTCACCAAGCCAGACAGCCCGCAGATCGGTTCTCTGCGTTGTTCACGCGTCATTTCAGGGAAGTGCTTTTTCTCTTCAGGAGAGCAGGAAAGGTAACAGCATCACATGGATTTCAAATGCACTCATGGACACAAGGCCTGGAACAGGTTACCCGGGGCGTGAATAAGTGGCCTGCCCGAGGCTCACAGAGGTGGTTCCCCCGCAGGCTCACCCCAGCCCAGGGAGCACAGGCCCACTGGTCCTACACAGAGCTGGTCTCTGACAGGGAAGTCGAGGGGTCCTCACAAGGCCAGGGGCAGCAAGCAGCCTCCAGGCCCAAGGAAGCAGAAGAAAAAGGCCATGTTTCCCTGGCCCTGCCATGTCCACATGGCCCCTGGGCACTAACTCAGATGGTGTGAAGTGCAGCGTGACAGCTCACTGCCCAAGGAGAGCCCCCTGGTGGCCCTTCCCCTCAGGGGACTGGCCCACTGTCCACCCTGACTGCCTTCTGCTCACGGGTGGAGAAGGAGAGGGACTAACAGCTCTGGAACCACCCCCACCCCACACGGGCGTGGTACAAACCAACAGGAGTCATTCTGAAGCTGAAGACGCCCTGCTCAGCCCCGCTTCCTGGCGGGTGTGAGAGGCCTGACCACAGCCTGATCCCAGCTGCTGGGAAGCCACACGCAGCTCCCCTCCCAGAGCCAACCACAGGAGCCCGCATGCTGGCCACGGCCCGCCCAGAGCCCAGGGCACCTGGTGTGAAGCCTACACGGAGGGCTCTGCCTCTGTTCCCTCAATGAATGCCAGGAATCCCCAGAAAACAAACACACAGGGGAGTCCCCTCCTCTGCTGGCCTCTGCAGAGAGACCTGTCACGTCTCTCTCTCTCTAGTGGCACTGATGTCTGCCTATCCCAGAACCCCTGGGGGATCCCGGTGGCAACTCAGGGCATGGGCTCCAGGGCTTTGAACCACTAGACTGAAGGATGCCAAGGCCAGTAGGGGCTAGACCATTCGGCCCCCTGCAGAGGGGAGGATTGCCCACCATGCCCAGGGGTGCCTCTCCCACCCCGGCCAACTTCACTCCCACTCCCTCCTTTTAGCTGTACCAGACCCAGGCCCAGCAACCTGCCCAGGTCACAGGGAAAGGGCTCCCCATCTTCCTGCAGGGCGTGCAGTAGGCAAGCCCATCTCTGCCCCTCACCCCACTGCCCAGGCTGTGGTGGGACCCAGTGGGTCCACTGCAGCCCGGCACCGCCTCAAGGCAGCACCCCCCCACTCTCCACTGTCCAGCGCCGGGCCGACAGCCCTCACCTGGTGCCCATGGAGTGTGTACAGCAGCCGGCCTTCCATCAGGTCCAGGATCTTCAGGGTCGAGTCGCTGGAGGCCGTGATCAGGTAGTTCCCCGATGGGTGGAAGGAGAGGGCGTTCACAGCAGCACTGTGCACTGGGGGGAGGACGCTGGTCAGACGCGGGAGGCCCAGGAGCACACTGCAGCCTGGGATGGGAAGTGGGGGCAGCCGAGGCTTGGCACAACCAGGCAGGGGTAAGCCGGGGCGGG